TTTTCTTAAAACTTTCAGAATTTTGCTCTGGAATTTGAGAATTCTGCATGGATTATTTCATCCATGCTTTTTATCATTGTTGGCATTTTGTTATTTCAAGGCATGCAGTGATAGTGCATAATTTAATGGGGTTGAAATGGTGACAGAAGACTAATAAAATGCAAAGTCACAAATACATCTTATGGAAACATTGCATCCTGTTCTAAAAATCAAAACATCCTCTGCATTGAAACAGTCTGAACCTTTATATTACAGTCAGTACACACTGAGTCTATTTAGACATGTGGGTTTTCTCTTGATACAAAAGATGGTGCTGAATTATCAAAAGATTGTTTGGGTTGTAGGAAACATGTTTCCTATGTTTTTTAGATTCTTGCCAAACTGCTAAGAGTGATTAATATTTTCTTTCCCTCTGTCAAGAGAGTATGTATTTTAAACTATCATATTATTGCTTCAAATGCATGGTATAATTCCACAGTGATGCTTCCAGTGTCCCACTCAACAGCTTTGAGCAGTGGTTTAAGGATGCTTACTTCATAAAACTGAAAGATGTATTGGCAGCAATATAAAGAATTACATACTGTATTTCTCCCCCAATTACTCAGCCATAAGCACTCTTGTAGTTCAGCCATGGCACCATCCACCTCTCAGAGGATGCCACATGCTTTCTTAAAACGTCACATCACTCACACAACTTTCTTTAGCCTGAGAAGGCAAGCAAAACAGTTCTGCAAAGAGACATCACTGATGTCCGTCTATCACTGGATATTCATCGTGAAACAGCGTGGTAACTGCCTAGAGACACTGATCTCCAGATGTTCTCAGTTCGTACAAAGGAACTGATGCTCTGCCCTTTCTCAAGGTGTTAGCTTTTATTCGTATCAACCAACACTGGTGGCACTTCTGAGTTTTGGATATCTTTAGTGTAAAAAAAAAAAAATCAAAAAGAAGTCCTGCTTCTTGCAGCTGGGTCCCACTTTATCTGTGAAATTCAACTCTGCAGATCTTTTGGATAATCTAAGCAAAGTTTGCCATTTATGATGGCAAAGGAGCACTGTGCCGTGATTTCAAGTTTCCCAGGAATGACTAGAGTGCCTGAACAGCAACAGCCCTTGAGTCCACGTGCTTGCTTTGATTGGTAAAAGGAAGGACTCCTCAAATTCAGGAATTTTTGTTCAAAGCCTGGTTTTGCTTGTTACAGGAAGAAAAAAGAAAAACAGAAAGATTTGATTCCACATGACTATCATGGAATTTACATCCAGGCCATTTGAGCACGGAATTTGACTCAGAAGTGCTTTTCCTTAAAAAGGAAATGATTATACAATTCAGGTATTCATTACTAACCAAGCATGGATTTCTTCTTCCTCTAGTCAGGTCATCTGTGCTTTCAAGAGCTATTTCTGCACCTTGGCCTCCTCCTCCTCAAGGCTCTCATGTCTCAAGCACAAAAGCCCTGGACAAGCAAGGAGAGCCACAACCCACAGGGGAAGACAGACGAGAGATAGCAAATTTCCAAGTGAGATTGGGAGAGGAATACCCGAGGTGAAGCAGTTCCTGCCGGCATACAGAAAGCAACAACCCCAAGCATTTTGGTGTTCTTTGCATTGTGACAGGTGTAGCCTTCAATTCATCATTGCTTGTAAAGCTCAAAAAAACCCCCAACAAGCAAGGCTAGATGTGAATAGACTGTCTCTAGATGGAGTGGGACATCACCAACACCAGACTAGGGATGCCGGTGTTACTATAAAGGAGTAAAAAGTTGCTTCCATCACTAGTACACGAGCTCTGGCTACAGCATCAGACATGAAAGGCCAGACTGCTAATAACTGAAATGTGGCAGCCCTGCAGAGAGGGGCAAAATTATTTGATGAAGGATTCAGCAGGGTGTCCTTGCCTGCCTTCCCTTGTCATTTTACTTGTCTGCATTAAGTTTGCAGCAGGAAGCTAAAGGGACCAGGACAGGTACAAGTCTGACCTAGGCAGAAACTCAGAGAGGACTTTCAGTTAAGTAAAATTTTCCGGTTTGTTAAAGTTTCTTCTTCAATACAAAGAGGGGAAAAAAAGAAAAAAAAGTTGCATTTCTAATTCTTTATCACTATCACATAATAGCATTAGTGAACTCAGCATATATCCTAGTGTCTTTTTTTTTTTATATATAACACTGGGAAAGTCTCCAAGGCTTAAATAAAAATCTTGCCTTGGCTCTCAAGCTTGGCAGGCTTTTGCTTCTAATACAACACAGATCAGAGGGTTTTTTTTTTTGCTTGAAATAAGTTTATTCTCCAATATATGTTTCTATCAGTTACAAAAGCGCTATATTCTTGTCACATAACTTCATGAAGTTGGGAAGGTGCCTCAGGTAACAGAATGGCATCTTTTTGTACAAACTTTCATATCATAAACAGTCCTTTTTGATACCATCACAATCACAGTAGCTAAGGGTAAGGGAAGGAAGCTAATGAGTCTCCTTTGCTCCTAGTGCCCGTTACAGCAAAACAGTCACAAAAGAACACACCCACACCAATAAAAGTCCTACCAGCCTGTTTCTCCTGGACTGGCTTACAAAAGTCAATTCACTGCATGCAACCCCTGTGACTAGGGTCAGGTCACTGTCTCCTGAGTTTGCCACCAGTACCAATGCTTCCACCAGTGCCTCTGAACCCCACACTAAGGCAACTTCTGCTCCAAGCTCAGCGTCTCTACTGTTGTCTGCATTCAATTTCACTTTGTGCAGCTTTTCTCCACACCAGGATTTCTTTTTTTTTTTTTTTTTCCCTTTCCTCTCACTTTCTTGACTGTTGGAGGAATTGGGGTAGAAAGTCATACTGAGAAGATCACCTTTCAGATGCAACAACATAATTAATTCAGAAAGCAGCATCTGCCATCCTCCTGGGTATGATGTTCCAAGGTATTGAGACTATGGAAACCACAGGACACCACTTTTGACTCAGATGAGGGCTGCATACATCAGCCTCAACTCTTGAAAACACAAACATCTTCTTTGGTACCTCAGGGAGTACCAAGTTATTTTTAAAAATCTAAGGACCTACACATGCAGAAGAAGAGCACAGAAACATCAACTACACAGATTTTATCTGTTCAGTCTGATGAGGGCAGAGAGAAAATGAGGTGGACTCCAGGGAAGGCAGTCCCACAGCCAAGGCTGTATCAAGAGACATCAAGTGAGATGGAGGCCATCACACTGACAAGAAAAGACATCTTACAGGACATGTTTTCCAGCAGACTTTTGCCTGCCCTGCAGTGCAACTGGTCCAGTTGAATCAATCTTTGTTCCTATAAAGCAGAAATGTGCCTGTTTCTCCACAAATCTGAGTAACTATTCAGGAGGAGCCTGGACCTTCTCTCCCAGCACCAACCCTGCTCTTCCTGGAGACACTCCGGGTTCTGCCCACCAACTCTTTGTGGGGGAAGAGGGCCAAAGCAAGATTCAGTAATTTAAAAAACAACCCCCCCAAAAAAACCCAACCAACCGTGAATACCGACTATAAATAGAGTGTCAAGTCCTGCTGTAAACTCGCAATAGAGCTGAACTAAAAATAGCAATATGACAAGACAAAGCAGTACAGCACTGGTGTTGATAGGAACAGCAATGTCAAGAGTATGAATATAGAAAAGAATAAGACTTTGCTACAGTAATTATCTACCTAACACAGAATAATGCGAATAAATATAGAAACCTCATTTCCAAAAAGGCTCTTACTCCCACAGCAACGTTAAAAGAAATGAAAAAAAAAAAAACCCAGAAACTTAAACTATAGAAGGAAAAAAAGGCTCCTTTTCTTTTTTCTTAGATGTAGTGGTATTTTTTCTGGTTTCCCTTTTCTTATATGGCACATTCTTTTTCCCAAAAGAGAGATCTGACCAGAATGGACCTAAGGCTGTGCATCTCCCGCATCCTTGGTCAGAAGGTCTAGCAGCACAAGTGGGATTATTTGCTCACATAATTTCTTGTTGAGTCTCACTGCATTAAGAGACTGAAAAAACACTGTGAAGATCAGAAAGAAAATAAATCATCATGTCCTGTTCCTATTTATGCCAGCTGATTGCTGTATTCCTCATATACAATTCTCACCACGTTCACACTGGCTGTATTATAGAGCAATCTGAGCACCTACACTCAGAAGCAGGTCACAGATGAGTAAGTACACACAAGTCTGTGCAAAATAGTTATTTCCCAGTGCCATATCCTCATTCTGTAACACAAGCAGTAACCAGAAATCTCACCGATGCTTTCAGCACTGGAAGCGGGCAGCACTATCAGACCAAAGCTGAGTTCCTGGGCTACGCGTGGCTGGATTTCCTCCTTAGACCAATGCAGCAAAGCAGCTGCCTTATTTGTGGCAACCACTCCTTCCTAAAAGCTTTTTAGCAAGAAGGCTTGAACCGCTTGGAGTCTTCCTAGCATCCATAAACACGGCACAACATGCCTGCTATCAAACATCGCAGTCCTGGTCAACACACACTGTGTGGTTTTTGGATATATTAGAAATTTCTCTTTAGAACAAAAAAAGTATAGATACAAAATTTGTTTTAACTGCTTATTTAAAAACCATGTTGTTTTGGCATTTTACCAATTATTTGGTGATTGCTTATACATTAGGAAATCTCAATGAGTAGTTATTCTAAACTAATATTGAAAAAAACTAGTATCTAAACTACTGAAGTTAAATATTGGAAAAGAATGAAGAAGTTTAAGAGAAGCACATTTGACAAGGTGAGTATAAAGGCATATAATCTGAGGGAATCATGTTGGTTCCTTTGCTGGACGTAGATAGTGACTGTAGAATTTTGCTACGCTTAAACTTGTATTTTATGCCATAGATAATCACTTTGCCTTTTACTGTTGCTCTGTTCAATTACTTGATGTCACACAGCATTTCCATTATTTCTTTTTTCCTTGAAGAACCAAAACACAATACAGCATGAATTCCTTGGTCTGAAAGCTCAGAATCTCATGGAGAAAATACGCATGTACTTACGACCAGAGAGAGTTTCTTCCTTGTGTGATGACTCCAGTGAATTTTGTTAGCCTTCGAGCATCTACTTCAATCCACTGATATGGGTCATTTCTTCCTGCACACCAAGCACCATCATAAAAATCATTTTCATTAACACCTGCCTGAAAAGAAGGCAAAACTGTCTTCATAAATCTGAACCAAGAAACTCAAGGTCTTTCCTGGGAAAAAGAAAAGAACACATGAAGTCATCATTCATGCCACTTACTCCTCTGGTACCAGTTTAAGACCCCTGAGACTGTTATTCTCAACAGCTGTATGGAGTGACCAAAATATTTCCTTACTCAAAGCGTGGAGGGAAGTTCTGCAAAGTCCCTTTAAAAACCAAGAAGGGTTACATATAAATTTAAGTTAAAGTTAGAAAGCCTAAACAGAGCTTCAATTCGGTCCACCTGTCTGTGCCTGTGGCCTGATAGAGCCTTTATCCAGAACAAATTATCCACATGGTCTTCAGAGTTATGAAAGTCCTAGAAAGCCAGCTCCAACCCACGTAAAAAATGGGCAGTGCTGGAGGAATCTCCTCTCCCCTGGAAGAAGCAAAGGGAAGTGTAGGGCATATGGAAACAGCAGTACTATTCCCCACCAATTTTCAGTCCCAGAATTATTAATTCTAATCCCTAGGGCATCAAAAGTTTAAAATTTTTTTTTTGCACTCCAACTTGTGTACCAATCTCTACCCCAATTTATGCTGGCAAAACCACCACAAACAGCCTCCTCAACATTTTTGAAGAAATAGCTGCAAGGTATTTTGAGTAAGCTGTGGTCCAAATACATCTGAAATAGCATTTAAAGAAACATAACATTTCAGGTCTTTAGATACTTATCTTATTACAAAAGCACAGGAAATGTTTGGCACCAAGCTGGCTACTGCCATAGAGAGCACAGAAGCTTTTCCATATTTTCCTCTGAGGCTACATGTATTTTTATGATATTTCATCTGTGTTTAATGTGGATTTATCATTGCCATCCATGCAATTCCAAGAACAGATATCTTTAAATATTTCTCAAATATAAATGAAGAGTCTGGAAAACTTTGTAAGTTTATAGTACAGATAGATCTTAAAGCTCCGGTAGACAGCTACTGTCTGTTCAGTGGTATATTTTCAGTTGGTGCGTGCATATATGTAGAACATAAATGAAGTACCCAAGAACACAACTGTCAATGAAATTTCCTGAATTATATCTCAGCTTCCCACTGTACAGTATTAGCAGATATTACAGTCATAGCTAGGTTAAAATGGCAGAGACTGACAGGTCTGTCTACCTCCAGTTTTACAGATGCTTTCAACCAAAATGGGCATTGGGTGGGTCTAACTCAAAGAAAGGATGCAGTGGGTAATCCCTTTTCCCAACATGGGAAAGTCTGGTGGTCTCTGAAGGAAGTGCTGCAAAACAGAGACACAGATTCAGTTCCTAAAACTTCTCGTTTTCTCAGGTATTCAAATCTGTGATAGGGTAGCTTAAAATTTACTTGTTTTCCTGCATCTGCCAAAATTACATTAAGCCACCTACTTCTCTGTATTAACTCTGATACTTAACAGTGAAGTTTGTAGAAAAGTCAAAGTACAAGATACAGAGAAAAACTCTATTAACAATGGGAGATAAATTCTTCAAGGAGAACTGAACAATGGGAAAACGTGAGAATATAAATATGATCACTGACCTGAGTTATAACCTTTTTCAAGAAAAGGTTTCAATGCGTTTTAAAATAAGATGGAATTTGAAGTAGCCTTAGGGTTTAAAACCAATGCTTGCCAGGAAGCATTAAGATCTGCAGAGCAACTTGAACCAGCATCGTGCTAATCCCTTTCACACTGACTAAATTCCACCAATTTCTGCAGACCAAGTACCCATATCTCTTAATGCTCAGCTGGGATCCTTGGTCCTCCTTCAAACCGAGGTTATTTCCCATCAGGGTGTAAACCTCTCCTCTGCATTACAGTGAGGAGAGAGGGCGGCAGAAGAGGAAAAGAAGAACTTATTTGCAAAAAAAACCCTAAATTAAATACTCAAGTCTCCATGGTTTCAGCTGGACTTAAATAAAACTAAGCATATGCTTAAGTTGTATATCAAATATGAGGAGTCTAAACGACATGCTTACAGTTATGCACAGCTTAAAATACCATGGCCTTAAATTTAAATAGAGGCAAAGAAAACATTAAAAAAAATTTTAAAAAAAATCAACTGTGCTTCTATCTCTTCCTGCTATCTTATTTCCTGACATCAGCTTCTCTGAAGCTAAAAGGATATTTTTACTAGGTAAAAAGAAGCAAGTTCCTGTGTATAACTAGCACAGAGTACAACCTGAAAAAGAGGAGTCTAATCAATGAGAAGTTCTTCTCAGAAATATTTCTGAAGGAAAAGAATCCCAATAAATATATCTTAAAAAAATTCTTTTCAAGCTTTAAGTCTGTATTTTTTCTTAAGGTGCTTGAAGTTTTGAATTTTCCCTATGGCCACTTCAAAAATATTGTTTTTATTAAAAAAATATTATAAACTCAATCAAATATTTAGTAGCCAAAATTGATATTAAATTTATTTGGAAAAATTTTCATTCCTGAAAGATAAGAACAATTATCATCAAATATTCAAAGAAGATAACTTTTCTCAGTATCTTGACCTTACTGAGGAAAGGTATCTTGATCTTTGAAAAGATAAGATGTTTACTTGAATTTAAAAATTGTATATTGAATCAACAAAGGTAATGGATTCAAGTTATGACACACTTCACTTCAAGCTATACATTTTAAACAATCTTCATAAACAGGAGAGTGAAGGAGCTAATGAAAATTGCAAGTAAGGACTAGGTCTTAAGCAAAGCCTTTTTTCCTTCACTGAATTTTCAAGAATAACTCAAAGTCTAACCCAGTTTAGATTTCACTTGCGGCCAAATGCAAAAACACTTCTCAATATGCAGTATCTTATGAAAAAATACCTTTTTGATACAGGAAAAGGGACTTTTTTCTGTCACTCCTGAGTAAGATATCTATAAATGTGAATGTTGAAAACTGTAATTCAAATAAAACAAATCAACTGCTTATTACGTACCCAGAAGCTAAGATAAAGGCAAATCAAAAGATTATGATTCCTTTAGAAATTATATGACTTCTGATTTTAATTCATGTTTCTCTTCCGAGTTAGACATATGCAAGACAGAATAAACACTTGCTCACATTATCACTGTTCCAAAAGCCATATTCTATAATGATGAGAAAGATTTTACTGCCTAAATGTATTTCAATGAAGAAAGAAATTTCAGTCTTGTGCCACAAGTCAGTTGGAGCAGCAGTAAAAATATACCCTAATATCAAACCACTTCTGCTTAGATTCTTCTCCATGCCCAGCAAGGTGATCACAAACCTTATTTTACCATAGGAAGTTTGAGAGGAAAAAAACCCAAAACATTACTCATCACAGGTATTTATAGCAACCACTGCCAGGAGAGAAGAGAAGAATTAAAGCAGATAGATTGAAACTAGAACTTCAGTAATTTTGTCTTTTGCTTGTGTTTTGATAACGGAGCTTTTCAAAAGGAACTAGTGAAACAAAGAACTGAAAAGACAAAAAGCAATACATCCTGTTTATTTGCATACACGATTGCATTAGCTGGTTAATCTTCAGCCTTGTTTGGATTTCTCCAACCAGGAAAATGAGGAAGGGGAAGAAACATAATTTGACTAATTATTTCAGGTTTTAACCACTGCTAATTATTGTACAAGTGACAAATACTAATGACTTTTACCCCTGAAGGCAGAGCGCCTCAATGAATATTATTTTACGCCGTGATTTCTCCTGATGATGTTAAATTACTACTGGTTGTGCCACTTTTGCAGTTGCAGGCTAGATCTCCAATATACAGGGCTCTGGTAGCATCGCTCCTGTGCTCAGGAGCTTCCAGCTTAACCTTTACATTCATACAGGACTGGGAGCAAAATCAGGTTCCAGGCTCTTGCCTGGACAAGAGAATCAGATCCTAGAAGGCCTTATCCAATCCTGCTAAGCCTGTCCTTTTTCGGAATAAAGCATGCAGTGACTGATTAGTTTCACATGCTTCAAATAATCTAAACAGATTGAGAACAGATTCTTTTTTCAGAAAAAGAAACAATAACCCTCAGAAACCTTTGTAAAACTTCATTACTCTGCTAATTCCCTGTGAATTGAGGTAGGGCCAGTTACCCAGGGTGAGCCCTAAGCTTCTCAGCTGGTTTCACATCAGATGATGAGGTCAGTGAATTGAGGTAGGGCCAGTTACCCAGGGCGAGCCCTAAGCTTCTCAGCTGGCTTCACATCAGATGATGACGTCGAGCAGAGAATGGATTTTGTCTTATTTTGGGGAGGAACACAATAGTCACATGAATATTCTGATGGCACTGTGGTGATACCCAAACGATGCCACAAGAGCAGCAGCCCATAAAATTGCTCATCACCATACATATAGTGCAGCGCTCTGGGGAAACTTCAGCAGCACATCAGCCTCTCAGGGTCTCTCCGACTTGGGCCAAGCGTTTTTCTCCATGTGCAGTACAGAACAGCATGAAAACACAGCTGCTGAAATACCAGTGCCTTTTGCCTTTCACCAGCATGCCACAACCTGCCCTTCTGAGCAGCAAGCAGAAATCACCAGGGACCTCATTACCCATCTGACACGTCAGTCCCCGTAGTACCTATTCTTGGTTATAAGCACGTATCTTTTAAATACTACTGATATTCTGAAGTCTTAATGCAAAGTAAAATTAAGCACTGAAACCCAAGTGACAGGGAAAAGATCTGCAAATTCTAAGTGGCTTTGAAATATTTTAAAGTGCTATTAATTTTAAGCTAATCCCAAAGGAAACAGTATCTAAAGAAAAGGAAATGCTAGCCCATAATTTTAAAGCTGCCAGTCATAGCACTAAATCTAAGTGGTCAAGAGGGTTAGAGAATTACTGTATCTATAGTATACAGTTAAGATTTCAGTAAGGGTAAAAGCTTTTGATTTGAGGATTACTAGAAATCTTTATTAGAGGTGAAGAAGCAGCAGAGAAAAAGGGCTACATTTATAAAAAAAAGCAAGCCACAAAAGTCACTTTGCTGTAAGCCAGGTGATGTTGGGTTATTTGTATGTGAGCTTCCCACAGCCCTGGGATCAGGTAGGTCCCTATACCAGAAAAGATTAAAAGCAGCTTTTGGATAATAAGGAGAATCAATCCATGCAGAACTCATACAGCTCATAGAAACTACACCACGAAAATTTGTATCCAGCAGAAGCATGATATTGTGAAGTCTTTGTTCACAGGAAAAAAAGCACCATCTTTTGAACAAAGAAGACTAAAAACCCAATTTACACCAGACAGAAGGTCCTTTCAACCAAGGCTCCGCATAGCACTCCAGGGAGGGTACAACAGCCCCCACATGGCAGAGGTGAAAAGCTTATTCTCACAATAAATGCAAAAGAAACCGCTGCCACAGAACCGGCAGAAGCTTTACAGTTATAACCAGAAGGGCCCAGGCACGGCTGCTACCCAGTAGGTGAAGGTGGGATGGGAGAAGCATGGGCTTCGAGGTCTTAGGAGACAGGACACCAAAAGAAACACGCTTGGTCTAATTCGAGCCCCGGGAATTTTCAGGAAGGAAGAGTTGAGTGGCATCTCACTTCTGCTTGCTTCCCAGCAGACGACTGTCCCCTTGGCTTCTGCTGGAGGCTCTGGACTATATTTAGGGGACACATCATCCATAGGTAAGATTCTTACACTTCTCTGTTTATTTTAATGCAGTGTTACTGGTGATGACAGGACACTTGACTAGATAGACTCCTTGTCTAAACCAGCATGGTCATTCTTGTGTTTAAATAAACTGAACCTTAACAGCAGCATGAAAATGAGGCACCACAACCAACAGAGAATTTAGAGGTTTGCATCACAGTCCTTGGTCTTATGCACTACATAAACAAAACTGTAATAAAATAGTTAAACTTTCCTATAGAATCCATCTGCACGCCATTTTTGTGTTCATGAGGATTTTTTTCCTAGTAGAGAATATGAAGTAAAGAAGTAAACTACCTCACCCGTATCTCAAAAGAACTTAAATATGAAGGCTGCAGGTGAGACCTCCCGTCACACCCAACCAGCTGTACCTGCACGGTGGCTCGGAAAGGAACAGCCCATTCCTCCCTCCGTGCTGGTCTCCTGCCACCCACCTCCAGCTGGCTCTGTTTTTCCTCTGGCTGCATAGCGAAGTGGTTTACTGAGCTTTCTGACCAACATTAATTCACTAGAACAATGAAAAAAAAAAAGTGGGGTGTTTCCCCCCCACATACCCCATAGAGAAGCTCACTTTGTGCAGAGGCACTGGAAGAAGCTGAAGCAAAGGGGGGAGGACAGTTGCTCAGTGGGGTTCTAACCAAGAGTGGTCCCTCCTTCCAGATCCTGCCCACCATTACGCCACAGTGGGCACCATCTGCAATCGCACTGCTGGTCAGAGCTTATCTTTCCTAGTCCCGATCTTAGTCCATTAACTAGCAAATCCCATCAGCTGGAGAAAAAAAAATAAATCTAGTGGAGGGTCTAATAATAAAAGGTAACTAATAAATTAAATAAACTTTAGAGACTTTTCACTGTTGACTTGTTGCTAGTATCCTGTTTATGACTGAGTTTTAAATGTTGTACTTTATTATGCAAAAGTAACATTTTTACCCTAAAAAAAGACTGTAATTCAGAAAACAGCACTAATAAAGTGGAAAACAGAAACATAAGAAAAGGGAAAATAGAATTTGACCCTTCAAAGCACATAGGCACATCTTTAAAATTAAATAAAAGAAGCTAACCCAGATTGTATTTAGTGCCTTTTGAATTGAAGCCTTTTTTGGTAGTATAACCATTGCCTCTGAAAAACTGCCTCAGGGCAAGTGCTTCACTTGAAACCACACTTTCAACTAACCATTGTCATTAACTACAGGCAAAGAACAACAAAAAAAGCAAATTTCTGTGTGATTGTTAAGGGAGCTGGAACGATTTCCTGCAGCTGGGAAGGGAGCAGCTCTGGGCTGCCTCCACCTTTGCTTGCTCATAGAGGTCTCTTTGGATTTGCACCCTCAGCACACTAAAGTCAGAGTTTTTTCTAACTAAGCCCCACGAATCTAAAGGTTATCCATCAACCTTATTCACTTCTATAATTCCAGTGTTTCCCCTTCATTTGAATTACATGAGCTGACAAAGTAGTCAGAACCGATAACCATCCATTGGTTCTCTTTATACGACAGTACAACCTTAAGCCATTCTCCCACTTAAGAGAAAAATTGACGTTACCTGAATATTAAGCCTTCCTCTGTGGGCCCCAAGGCCATACCGCTTTGCTGTAGAGGCATGGAGTTGGAAATCAGTAATTTTTAATGTCTCTAGACCAAGTGGAGGACAATCTACAAAACAAAAGATTGATTAAAATTTAATTAAAGAAAACCCAAAACCAACACAAAACAAACAAGTATTCAAAGTTTCTGGATTTCAATTGTGCCAAACTGGCTGGGGTCCTCAGCTGGTATAAATGAGCACAGCACTGCTGAAGTCAACAAGAAATGGCAGCTCTCATAAGACCAATGAAGTAATGATGATTTACATCAGCTGAGGATCTGGGTTTTTGAGGGTCTCAGTTATTACTGCTTGCTCTGTGCTTCAGGTTTTCATGGATATGCACACTATCTCCTGTCAAGTGCTTTTCAGTACAAAATGCCAGTAAAATGGCTTTTATTTTTCTCTCTTTTTGGCATTTTCTTTTTCATCTCTTGTTTTGATTTCCCACCCGCCCCGTACTCATTCCAAGCTACTGTATGAAGTTATGTTTCTAATTAAAATCTGTTCGGGAAACTTCAATCACAGTCCCTCATGTTGCACAATAGCATCTGTTACAAAGGTCTGGGAGGCCGGACAGCTGAGCTCTTCAGAAGCAATGACTAAGGACAAAGAGGACAATTTTGAAACAAGGGACCATCTCTCAGCTCCAAGTTGTGCAAAGCCGTGAAGAAAGAAAAGCAGATGCTGTTACTTTAGCAGCTAGCCAGCAACGCAGCAAACTAGAGCCTGGAACTCTGGCTTTGGAAGGTAAGACGTTGGAAAGAGTCTACTTCATGATTATCAGAAAAATATTCTGTTCTAAAATGACCCCAGCCACCACAGTATTTAAGTCCTTAGCATATTTATCCTCAAAATGTCATGGGGAGGTGAGGAAGACCCACTCCCAGTGTTTCACAGGAGGTGAACCAAACGCACGGAGAGATGCTTTGGGAGCACCTAAATTGTACAACGAGCACAACATAGAGACCCTGAAGGCAGTGCCAGCTGGAATTGGAAAGTCGGCATGGGCTTAGAGGTGGAAAACAGTGTCATACTTATCATTTAAATCAGGTACTTGTTAAGTTAGACTAGGTTTTGCACCGCTGTGACTGTATCACTTCTGGGTTTGGAGAGAGGACAGATTTTTTTTCTGCAGCGGAGTGCGGGAGGTTTGTTGCAACTTGCACAATGGGTTGTGGCAGAAACAGGAGCCGAGCACCAGCCATGGAGACCAGGTCACATTTCCAGCCCCCAGACCACCCCTCCGGTCCCCAAACCATCCTTCCTTACCGCCGCCTGACAGCTGGGATTGCGATCTCGCTTGTCCCACAGCTGCTGGAGAATTGTCAAAGAGCTCACTCCCACGCTCTATACCTCTGTCCTGCTCACATATATATTTTTTATCACTCACCAAAATGTCTTGAGGGTATGTGCCTGAGAATCTCATCCTGGCCATGTCTAACTTTCAGGTGTAGTTTTGCATTACTGTGTACAAACTGACAAAATGTATGAGATTTCCTATGCTTCTCCTTAGCTCATAACAACCTAAAATCCCTCAGGAAAAACGTTACTTGCTGTCAGTTCACGCTAGTATTTCTTGGTTCATCCTTAGGAAAGTTCTCATACAAATTCAGGGCCAAATGTCTCCGTCAGAGGCAGTAAAGACAAATGCTAAATAGTAATGTATTTTCTAAAGTACCAACAGTGACCTTAGTCTTACACAAGAGACAAAATGTAGACAGTTCCTCATTTTGAAGAACCTTCAATCTAATTATCCAAAACAAAGAAGAGACAGGATGAATAAGGAAAGCCAGAGGAAGGAATAGCTCAGAGGGTTTTTGTTTCATTGGCTGATTGTTTTAATTGCATTTCCTCATAGAGTGTTTCATCTTTCATCGTTTTCCGACTGGAAGAAGTCTCAGGCTCTGACAGATTTCTGCTGGGACTAAATTATATAGCTGGGAACCGCCTGCCTTTCTTTAACAAGGTCAGTCCTCAAGACAGGTTTGGGAACAAATCTGATGGTGTAATCCTACAAACGCTTTTGCACTTTGGTATATTTTGCTCTGTGAACAGTCTCACTGTTCCCAAGCACTCAAAAGTGACCCAAACGTACTCATGCCAGGTCAGAGCTCAAAATAACAGTGAGCTGCTTTTACGTACTCAGTTCATAAAATATCATTTAATTTGATGTTTATACCGCACCTAACAAGGCTAAGGGGCAATCTACAGCTACTTCTAGGAGTTAATAAAAAAGTAGAAATTTTCTCACAAAGTGAACAGCCAGTTGTATCAGCAAGGGATCCACTGAAGCTCAATCTCTTCCAGATTGTGTTTCACAGCCCATTCTCCTCTACCGAACAGCAGCAAGAGCTTAGGGAGCTGCCCCGGGGGCAGTCAGCCCATCGCTTCTCCATAGGACGCAGCCACCACCCCATCTGCAGTCCCTTTCCTCACCATTGCTCTCTTCTGTAGAGAGATCTGTTTTCATGAATCCTGTAGGAAAAGCACTATTTTTGAGCCTGGCAGCTGCCTATCAGACTTGGCTGAAGTTACCTGGAGTGACATACACCTGTCAAATGTATGTGTGAGAAGTGGGTTTGGTTTTATTCAGAGTGAAATGTTACTAATTTACTATAAAACTGCAATATTCAGCCTGGAGAAGAGAAGGCTCCGGGCAGACCTTAGAGCAGCCTTCCAGTGCCTAAAGGGGCCGACAAGAAAGCTGGGGAGGGACTTTTGACAAGGGCCTGGAGTGACAGGACAAGGGGCAAGGGCTTTAAACTGGAAGAGGGAAGATTTAGATGAGATATTAGGAAAAAATCCTTCATGGTCAGGGTGGTGAGGCAGTGGCAGAGGTTGCCCAGAGAAGCTGTGGCTGCCCCGTCCCTGGAAGTGTTCAAGGCCAGGTTGGATGGGGCTTTGAGCAACCTGGTCTGGTGGGAGGTGTCCCTGCCCATGGCAGGGGGGTTGGAACTAGATGGGCTTTAAGGTCCCTTCCAACCAAACCATTCTGTGATTCTATGATAACACGCAGGCAGCCCAAGAATATTTAAGGGAGGGTTTCTTAAACTGCAAGATGAGTTTTTACTCGTTAAAAAGATTGCCTGCATATATTTGTGTGTATTATCTCTGTTTCTAGAGAAACTGAAGCCTAATAATAGACTCAAAAATGTTCATATGGATCTCAGTTAAACATGCCTGACTGTTCTTTATTTTTCAAGGATGAATTATTTGTATTGTATGTGAATGCATCAGATTAACAGGCCAATATTATTAAATGCTCAATTTAACAGAAGTTTTCAATGAAAGCAAGATTAGGTTCTTAAGAGCAGACAGGAGCTATCTACGATATGCAGTATAGATACCTTTGATGAAAAGTGTGCAATACTTTGTTAACAATATGCTGTCCTTTCTCAATGTGCGCAAGCCTTATGATATTTCAAGTGAAATCATTAGCATCTTTACCATCAATTCAATAGTATCCAGGATTTTTTTTTTTTTTCTTTTACCGTTATTTGTATAAATTAGCAGGAGAACACCTAACTTGCTTTCTCTGGAAGTGAACTAGACTTTAAGCTGTGACTTCACTAACTTACCAAATCATGTAAAGATTTATTTTCTCTTAACTTGGTAAGAGAAATCAAGTAATTTACTCCAATACTTGATTGAAAATTAATGAAAAGCATTCCTTTCACAGTTGGCCTCTCTTTCTCCAGTGACCATCCCAAACTGGGAACAGAGCAGCAGGGTTATGACCATCAGGATCAGTAGGATTCAAGACTAATCAGCAGGATTCAAGACCTTTGACCTTTAGATGTTTGCATCTGTGCAGGTCTGCATGGGGGTGATATTCTTGGAGTCATCAAGCCTATTGTTTGCAGTATCGTTGATGTACGACATTTGTGCTGTTTTCCACAAGAGAAGACCTTAGACTTTGCTTTTAAATGAAATTATGTCTTCTATTCATAGCCATAATATTTGACTATTAATACTTTAGGAGTATTAATTTTTTCCACATGCATATGAATTGCAGCGCCAATGAAGGGATGAAAAAAAGAGCATATTAGACCAAAACATCAATCTGTAATGTACAGAGATATTGGGGACAAATTTTTCAGCATGACCTCATCTGATCAACTCCAAGTGACTTATTATAATACAACACAATCCACCTAAAGTTGCCAGTTCACTACTGAAAAAAAAATAATGCTGAGTTGTGCTGTGAATTTAACTTTAGATAAATTATTTTGTTAGTGTGTGTTCCCTCTGCTTCTTCAAGCTATTAGAGATAACCAGGATAACCTATTTTTGAAAAACATACAGGAAAAGAAACCAATTTATGGCATTCATAAAGACTGTACTTTTTAAAGTATGGCTTTAATATATTTTATTTAACTTTAAGAAATCTTCCATATAACAATGAAAATTGCCACACAATTAATAAGACTGTCTTAATGATTTTGTATTCTCCATGTTAGTTTGAAAAACCCTTGCAGAAGCTACAGAAATTGGATAGCATGAATAATCAGAGCAGTTCATATCTTATAGATTCAACTGTAAGTGACCTAGTTATTTGGTCATTTCTTTAAGTAGTTGAAGAAATAATCATTATAAAATACAGGAAAGTGAACTATGGCTTTGAAAGACTTTTAAATCCACATACTATGTCCATAACAACTTACTAACAAAATGCAGCTAGAGTATTTACGTTTCAGAGCAATCAAAAAGCAAGCATTAAGCTTGCAGGTGCAGGGAAGAGGCTGAGTTATGAACAATTCTCTCGTCCTGGCCCGTATCCAAGCATGATTTCGTGTGTGATTTGCAACCATGAATAGGTGTTCACTTTAGAAACAAGCCATTAATAAGATGTCTGGATCAAATTAATTAATTGCAAGACCTAAAAAAAGACCAGACTTGGATTCAGACTTAATAACATTTCTGTCTTGAAGAGTGTTCTTGTGAGGTTTCCATTTTGAAATAGCTTTCCTATTAGCTATGTTAAAAGGCTACATCTCAGCATCCATTATTTTCAATTATGCTTCTACTAGCCAGACAGATGATTGCATCCCAGCTAAGGGCAGCAAAG